ATGACCCTTAGGAGAACTATGGGGAAAAACACTTAACCCATAGTTCTCCTTTAACCTGTTGCCGTCCTCCCGTGAAAAAACGGACGGACGGCACAGTCCCATTGGCGGGCCCGTTCTTTACAGCCGTTACCGGCTGTTTCACATACATACGATCGGCGGCTCTATAGCCTGCCGATTGTATGTATGGGCTGTCTGGCTGCACGCTTTTAAAGCGTTGCCAATGGCCAATTTTGGGTATTGTAGTTCTTTGAGGTTTCGCACGCGCGCAATTTTAAGGCTTGACATGTTTGGTGTCTATTTACCCGACGTGACCCCGTCCTTTATATTTTACCAAAAAATTGGGTAATAATAAATGTTTTATCAATTAAATTAAATTTTTCGATAATTTGTCCTTCATATATTAAAAAATAAAACCCCCAGTGGCGATTAAATACCATCAAAAGAAAGCTCTATCTGTCCCTAGAAAATGGTCTAAAATTCATTTCAGTACAGCGTTGTATGACGGAAGAAATGTCAGTCAAAGTACTGCAGCGCTGAATACTGAAAAATGGCCTGGCCAGGAAGGGGGTTTAACACCACGGACGTCAAGTGGTTAAAAACTTTTTGACTTCAGTATCACTTTAGGTTATAAAAATCACACATAAACACCATGCAATATTTCAAATTCAAGTTTGGTGCATATGTGTGTATGTATAGAGATCAAGGACAAAATTGTCTTGTCTTTAGTGACTGGAATGCTATGTAACTTGTACTTCCTTCCTATGAGGTATGACTAGTTAAACATACCCTTCATGCATGTGCTCCTGAAACAATGGGCTAGTCACGCTAGTCAGTCTAGTTCAGTCTAGTGCAAGGTGCTTTCATTTTGTCCGACAACACTGATTTTGCCTTCACAGTAGGTCGTTTTATAGCATAAATCAGTTATTTACAGAGTCTGTGTCAATACTACTGCCGTCTCCTGGTGCATGTTCTCACATGGAACTGGAGGAACATAGTTTTCATTTGCGTAGAGCCATTAAATTGTCTCTTTGCATGCAAATTCAGATATGTGTATGCTTTGGTGGCTTACAACACTTACTCCTTTCTGCTGCCCGTGTTTTTGTAATGTACAAATAGTCTGGGAAATCATCCCTTCCTTTGGCATACATGAGTTCAGTGGTGGCCTTTCCCTTTTGTTCCATAACAGCTGTGGCTAGATTTGGCCCCATGACCTTCCGATAGTCCTTTCTGTTTTGTGGCAACTCATTAGCAGAGCTGCCCTCTTTTCTTTGCATTGTACGTGACAATTTCGGTAAACAGTGCCTTCATACATACACATATCAACTATGAATGAAAAGGATACCGGAAGGTTTGTGAGGGACTGAAAATATTAGTTCAGTTTAATCAAATGGATGTATAATAGCCCTTTGACAATGTTATGACTTTGTTGTTCATTTAATTTGCATAAAAAGTAAACAGATACATTCTTCACATGTATTAGGAGATGAACAAAATGTATCATAGCTTAATGTTAAGCCCGTCTCCAGAATAAAGTTACCCCCACCCCAACTTACTGATTGCTGGTTAAAAAAAGCCATTTTTACTTACCTTAAGCCACGCCCACTTGTCACTCCGGTCCCAAGCCTTCTCTTCTGTTTTTTTATTTGGGGGGATCCTTCTTCTGGTGTCCACATCACTGCTGGCATGATGTGGCCACTTCATATTGGCTGTCCAGCGGCAGAGCCCTCTCTGGATCCAGAAGAGGAGTGACATCATTGTAATGGGACTGTCTGGGACCAACCAGCGAGGACCATCTGTAAACCTCAGTTAGCAGTCCTCTCGCCTGTAAACAGTCCCTGTGAGGGACCTGGATGGACTTAGGATAAGTATACTTATAACTTACCCCCCTCTGCCAATCCCTGCACTGGCTTCCATCCCCCACCCCTCTCTGCCAACCCTTGCACTGGCTTCCACTCACCCAAAGGATACAATTCAAAATATTGACAACCACTTACAAAGCCATCCACAACTCTCCCGCGGATATATCTCAAACCTTATCTCAAAATATCACCCTAACCATCCCCTCTGCTCTTCCAAAGATCTACTGCTTTCCAGCTCCCTCGTCAACTCCTCCCATGCTCGCCTCCAGGACTTCTCAAGAGTCTCAAACATCCTCTGGAACTCTTTACCCCATCCTATCCTTCTATCTCCCACTCTGACTGCCTTTAGGTGATCCCTAAAGACTCATCTCTTCAGGGAAGCCTATCCTACCTCTAACTAACCACTCATCCATCACATTCTCTAACAAATCATCCCCACACAGCTACCTCCTCATGTATCACTTGCCCCTCTCTTTTAGATTGTAAGCCCCCAGGGGCAGGGCCCTCCTCACCATCTTGTCTTGAATTATATTGTAATGTCTTCCTTATATTGTAAAGCGCTGCGCAAACTGTTGGCGCTATATAAATCCTGTATTATTATAATAATAATTATAATAACAACAATAATAATAACTTGCTTCACCAGGTAACAATATTTTTTTGTTTTTTTAAAATGGCACAATGGGTTAGAGGGGGGTGGGAGGTGGATCATATTTTTTTTCTGGAGTGGAGCTTTAATTTAGAGTTTCTTACATAGTAATAGGGATCCAAAAGGTTGGTTGCCTTGGTTGTTGATGTGGATTGTTTTCCTACTCTAGTAACTAGGGATGCACAGATACTGATACTAGTATCGATGCCGATATAGAGTATTTGGGCATTACCAAGGCATTACATGCCGCCTGGCTTCCTTAATGGAACTTCCGCTTTCGGTATCGGTGAGTGGCGAAACAAAAATATCAGTACTCGATACCGAAAACCCGGTATCGGTGCATCCCTGCTAATAACTGTTTACTATATAGTATGGACTCCAAACAAATGTAATATTAGTATTCTTTTCAAATCCGAATAGCTCAGATGGAGAATACAGTCTGATTTCTAGTATTCACGCTAGTTTATCCACACGTGTTTTATTGCATGAGATACAAAATAGTGCAGTTTTCAAGTGTAGGATGTCTTCCAGTGTGCAGTGTATGTGCAAAATGCTGTACAGAGTTGCAAATTGTTTTAATATACAGTACATGTTTGTGTTTAATGCACAGCTTGCAAATGTTTTTACCATAAATACCAGACATACTTCACCCACTCTTACCCTTTTCTGTATAAATACTGTACCAAATGTGATATAGGGGTCAGCTAGAGTAGGAGACTGGACACCCGTGCTCAATGGATCAAAGAATGTACCTTGTCGTGTACTGCCAGGTGCTATAGTAATATACCAGCCTTTGCACAAAGCCTGCATGTAACTTTGCTGTAAAGACAGATTTGAAAACACACACAGCATGGGGCAACATATTAACATATCACAATGTACTCATGTTGCATGCACAATGTACTGTGGCTAACCCCACACTGCAAGGGTTAACTGCACGTTTTGGTCTAGGGAGGAAATTAAAAAAGTTATAATCACCTGATCCTCAGAGATGGCTTGTTCTTAGACCGCTCCCTCCAGCCTCACTCCTCCTCTGCTGTAGCGGTCTAAGGTCCCTGAGTCATCACGTTCTATACACAGCACATAGAACATAAGGACACAGAGGGACATACTATCACTGCAGTGGAGGAGGAAACAGGCAGGAGGGAGCGCTGTCACAGCTGGCTGGCTTGGAGGATCGGGTGAATATAACTTTATTTTCCTTAACAAATAACTTTGTTATTTTTATTTATTGCAAAAGACAGTATCCCCACTGCAAGGGTTAATAAAAATGTTGCCTGGAGTTCTTCTTTAAACTGCTTGAACCCACATTTTTTTAAAGAGAGCCCATCATGGAAAAAAAAAATTAAGGGTGCCTGCATATATTTGCAGCAGCCTCCTTCCAAAAAAACAACAGAGGCACCTTTTAGAAATGTTTAGTAAACCATCTACAAACAGATACTTCTAGATAATTGCCAGCTTTTTATTTTTTGCATTCCTTTATTTTTCTTTTCCTCCCCAGTCTTCCGACAGTGGTTATTTTAACTAATGAGAGGGTACTAGCTCTCCCTTTACTTCCTACAACTCTGGCACATGTGACTTGGACATGTGACCATGCACATTATCTCAGGGGAGGAAAATGCCTTTCCCTGAGATCTCATGAGATTACAGATTAGATTTCCCAGCAACGCTCTGCTGATGTAACCTTCCCAGGATGCAATGCTTGGGTACGATTACATCATTTGTGCCACAGTGGACCAGGAAGTAGAAAAAAAGAAACTGTAAGTAAAATAAAAATGTTTGTTTAGCTAATGAATGTAAGATGATTTCATATCAGTATGCAGAGCTGTATGCTGATGTTATTTTTAGTCAAAGGGAGTAAAGGTCCGCTTTACCCCTCGCATCACAGCCGAATACCAGACCAATCTGACTGTCAAAACGTCAGCATTCTCCAAAGGTGCCAAAGCTCGCCTGTCCATTCCTGCCTCCTGAACATTCTTATTGGCCAGGGAGGCTGGCAATCAAGTAATGGGCTAATAGGAATGTGTGGGGTGGTGTGTGGGCGCTTTGCCAGTGAAAACGACTACAATTTTGGGACTACACTAGAAATGTTGGGAGGCTGCTAGTCATTTTATTCCATGACCAATTATTTTAACTCTTGGTGCTCTTATATAGCTTCAGGACTGAACATTATTATGTACTGTATGTAGAATGCATTTAGTTGCCTGTGTGGAAAAACAAACCCTAATAAAAAAAAATGACAATGTCACATTATAGAGCTCTGCAGTTTTTCCTTCACTTCATGACAATGGTACAAACTCTTCCAGATGTTGACAATGACCATTTGTAAATTCGCCAAATGAATAAGAAGTTCAATACTTTTTACTTTCTTTCAGCAAATGTGATAAAATAACGTTTTTTTTTTGTTTTTTTTTACAGTGTTTGTCCTGACTTTACACATTGATCATCTGATATGCCTTCTTCCTAACTGCCTGATGATGCATCATTAATGATCAAATAGGTAAGCAATGGAAGCACTGGAAGTGGATGACATCAGTCCGGCGCTAGAGGTCACAGAGGATTTCTTCAACTCTTTTGAAAAACTAGAGCATGGTAACCATCAGCCTGAGGTCTTTGGGATTCATGAAGCTCCTGAACTGTTAGGAAATGATCTATCCAGTAAAATCCAGCAGCAAGTTGATGGACAAAATGCAAACACCTCAAAGCGTAGCATTATTTGGGAGCGGTGTAAGAGCAGTCTCTTTGATGCCAAAGCAAAGAATGGGATCCATGCCAAAGAGCACTTTTCATCAGCTAGGAGAACATTTCCTGATGTACCTTTGTCGGAGGGACAGGAAAAAGACGCTTCTACCTACAACTTCTTCAGTGCATGTCACCGTAGACGTGACAGGCCTCAGTCGATTAATGACACGGTAGGCCTTGCTGAAGACTCTACAAAATTTAGACCAGGACACAACAGGTCGCGTTCTGATGTTAGTCATATAGACTGGACAAATATACGCAAGCCAGCACCTTTGCAACGCTCATCAAGCCAAGGGATACACTTCACCAGAGACATTGAAGGAAATACTGGTATGTATTTATATGAATTAGCGAAGCACCAATACCAAGTACAGTACTCGGTACAAGTACAGATACGTTTCTAGCTCCAAGACTAGACTAGAGAAAAATTCAAAAGTTAGGAGGCAGCTGTGATTTATAAGGAGCACACGGAGCTCCTGGGATTTGTACATCTCTGTTTTAATGTAGGATTTTGTTTTTATAAACATATATAAAGGGATGCACCAATACCAGTTTTGCAAGTACGAGTACTGATAAATTTTTGTTATGTGACAGTTTTTCTAATACAATATCGACTAATGGTTTCAGGACAGTGGTGGAGCGCCAGAGCTAGGTACCAGTTGCAACCGCTGCAGCCCTGGTAGTTATCATGAAAATGCCAAGTATCGGCACTGGTATCTGGACATCCCTAATATGAATAAAATGACTTTCAGTTTGCTATTCTGCATGAATACAATACTCACGTATCACGAAATATAGCAGCTGTATAACAAAATTTAAAAAAAATAATTATTTTTATCATAAAACAGTCCTTGAGCTCAAGTCAAGTGACGTTGCCTATGCTAAGATAATGTCATCAGTCTGCTGCAGGCAGAAGGAAGAACTTCCTGTCTCCTGTGATTAGACTGCCATATTGTACATTTGTAGCAAGTCAGAAGATAGGAGTCTGCAGCAGGCGCTGCTCTGTGTCAGACATTTGTGAACAAAGATTGCACAGACACCAGCATTTACATTAAAGTGTCATCTCTGACCGAGCATTTTCATTCCAGGATATAGATGTTGACACTTGATGATGCCTGAAGAAAAATAGTGTTATCCGTTTGATGTTAAAAGCAGATAACGACATAAGGGTGAGCACTGTGATCTCTGTGAGAGGTCAGAAACATCTGGAAGTATTACACTTAAAGGAGAACTATGGGGTTAAGGCTTTTCCCAGTAGTTCTCTTTAGGGTAACGGGAGGACACAAACTAGCATCCTCCCATCACCCTAGGCTCAGTAGCTCGCGGTATACTGAGACGCCGCAGTATACCGCGAGCTGCTGCTCGCGGCATACTGAGACGCCGCAGCTGAAGCGGATCCCGACAATTATGCCGGGATCCGCCCAGCTGCGTGACTGACGCAGAGAGGCAGAGCCAGCTGTACCCGCCCCCTCCCCCGTCCGTTCCGCCAGTCAGCGCTGGCGGATCAGAGCGGGGAGGGGGGAATCCAGCCCCTCCCCTGTCACGGCAGAGAGCCGTGACAGGATTGAGAGGTGAGCGAACGCCGGTATGTGTTCCGTCACCTCCCGATCTACTGAGCCGACCTGTGACAGTCTCATTGTCACAGGTCGGCTAGAACTATGAGGTGAGTGAAAAGCACTCACCTCATAGTTCTCCTTTAGCCACTTGCCGTCCGCCCGTTGTAAAAAAACGGATGGACGGCACTGCAGCATTGGTGGGTTACCGTCTCCGGACGGCACTTTTTTTCTGCTCGCGCGCGACCCCTAGCGGGCGCGCACGGGCAGAAAAGACCCGACCAATGCAAACACCCGGTACCGGGTGTTTCACATATACCCGATCGGCGGCTCCATAGCCCGCCGATCGTCTATATGTGCTCGTTTTTTCGACCGCCACCCCCCCCCAGCGGCCGCCGCGCCGTTTTTTTGCAAAACCACCCTGACCCCTCACCTTCAATCCCGGGATCCGCTGCCCCATCTGCGGCCCGGGACCGGCTCGGGAGGGCGTCAGGAGGAAGAGGGAGGGAGATCAGCTCATTGCTGTCTCCCTCCGGGATGTGAATGCAGAAGTGATGTGTATTACATCACTTCCGCATTCACCTGTCAGTCATCTGGCTGCTATAGCCAGAGAAAAGAAGCTGATGAAGCAGATATCTGCTTCATCAGCTTCTTTTGGGGTCCCCAGGGATCCCCATAAAGAGGACCTGTCCGTGTGCCTTTGCTATTATATAGGGGGATTGTTATCCCCCTATGTGATAACAGCCAATTTTGGGTAGTATCAGTTTTTTGAGGTTTTGCACGCGCACGCAATTTTAAGGCTTGACATGTTTGGTGTCTTTTTACCCGACGTGACCCCGTCTTTTATATTTTACCAAAAAAATATTATTTTGGTAATTTTTCTTAATATAGTAAAAAATAAAACCCCAGTGGTGAATAAATACCACCAAAAGAAAGCTCTATCTGTCCCCAAAAAAGGGTATAAAATTCATTTCAGTACAGCGCTCCATGACGAAATAAATGTCAGTCAAAGTACCGCAGCGCTGAATACTGAAAATTGGCCTGGATGGGAAGGGGGTTTAACACCGCGGATGTCAACTGGTTAAGGTGGCCATACACCTTGCAATTATCGGACGACACTTTTCGTCTGATGATCGAACCGTCGTACGATTGTCGCATGGCAGCCCCGATTTATTGCAAGGTTCAATTAGCCGTAATTAAAGAAAAGCACCTGGACGAATTGCGTAATCGACCGCACGTATTTTCAGTTGCGCATGAGCAGTGTAGATCGTACGTACGATTTTTGACGTACGGAAACGCCACTAACCTTGCGAAGATTGTACAGTATTTGCGGTTGTACACTGCCCATACACCTTGCGATTATCGGACGACAACGCGATCGCATACGATTATCGTACGATAATCGTAAGGTGTATGGGCACCTTTACACATTACTTAGCATGCACCTAAAGCAGAACTCCAGGCATGAATTGTGACCCTTAAGAGAACTATGGGATAAAAAGGTTACCCCATAGTTCTCTTTTAACCACTTGTTGCCCGGGGCGATTTTTTTAGAATTGTCTGGTCCTCTGAGCTCTGGGCCTGATATCCTGTTTTAAGGGTGGCTCCTTGTCCCATGAAGCCACCCTTGTGTGTGCTAGTAAGCCCCACTGCAAGGGTTAATTTTGTACATGCCTGGAATTCATCTTTAAAGTGAACAAAGCAGCCCAAATATATTGAAATATTAAAGCAGAACTCCGGGCCCAAACTTTATTAACCCTTCCAGTGGGGCTACCCTTGCTTTGCAAGGGTTAACTGCTCGTTTTTGTCTAGGTTAAGAAAAAAAAGTTATAGTCCTCTGATCCTGGGAGACGGCTAGCTCTTAGACTGGTCCCTTCTGTTTTGCTCCCTCTCCGCTGCAGCGGCCTAAGGTCCCTGAATTATCATGTTCTATACACAGTGTATGGAACGTGAGGACGCACCATCTCTGCAGCATACGAGGAGAGGGGCAGGAGGGACAGCCAGCCAGCTCCGAGGATCAGGTGAGTATAACTTTTTTTAACCTAGACAAAAATGAGCAGTTAACCCTTGCAAAGCAAGGGTAGCCCCACTGGAAGGGTTAATAAAGTTTGGGCCCGGAGTTCTGCTTTAATATTTCAATATATTTGGGCTGCTTTGTTCACTTTAAAGATGAATTCCAGGCATGTACAAAATTAACCCTTGCAGTGGGGCTTACTAGCACACACAAGGGTGGCTTCATGGGACAAGGAGCCACCCTTAAAACAGGATATCAGGCCCAGAGCTCAGAGGACCAGACAATTCTAAAAAAATCGCCCCGGGCAACAAGTGGTTAAAAGAGAACTATGGGGTAACCTTTTTATCCCATAGTTCTCTTAAGGGTCACAGGAGGACATTATACTAACATTCTCCCGTGACCCAAAGCTCAGTATATAGCAAGCTATAGTGAGCTATATACTGAGAGCATGGCAGTAGGGATGGATCCAGACAATAGTATCGAGATCCATCCAGTTGGTTGTTTGACAGTGGGCTCTGCCTATCTATAGGTAGAGCCAGCTGTGCAACCCCTCCCCCCGTTCGTTCCTCCACTCAGCGCTGGAGGATCGGAGAGGGAATCCCTGTGGGGAGCGGCGACTGACAGTCATCGCTCTCTGCAGGGAGATGATCGAGAAGCGAGCGGCTGTATGTGTTCACTCACTTCCCGATCTATAGAGCCGACATGTGACAGTTTCATTGTCACACGTCAGCTCCAACTATGAGGATGAGTGGAAGTCACTCACCTCATAGTTCTCCTTTTTAAGTAAGTGAAGGCTTACCGGGGCTGTTTAATTCTAGTACCCTGGTTATATATGGGCCAATAAGTTATAAATAGGGATGCACCGATACCACTTTTTTTTACGACCGAGTACCGATACTTTTGATCAAGTACTCGCCGATACCAATTACCAATACTTTTTCTTAAAGGGACAGGTCACATTTTTTCTAAAGCAATACAAACTAATGAATTAAGGTCAGTTTCTTAATATTATGATTCATGAGATGACTAGCGAGCATGACGCCGCCTTTCCGGCCAATCAGAATGCCGGCGCTGCGTCATTACACGGCGCCCGGCTTCTTGATTTGCTAGCTTCCTGACCAATCTGGAAGCCAGGCAGAGCATCATTACACGCTACCCGGCTTCCTGATTGGCCTGGAAATCGGCTCCATGCTCTCTCATCACAAGTGACGAGAGAGCATGGAGCCGTTTCCCGGCCAATCAGGAAACCGGGCAACATGTAATGATGTGCAGCCTGGCTTCCTGATACAGGAAGTACTCGTGCTAAGTATCAGAGCATTTGGTACGAGTACTCACCCAAATACTCGGTATCGGCACCGATACTAGTATCGGTGCATCCCTAGTTATAAATATGTAAGACAATCATGTGCCGAGATAAATAAGTACAATTCAGTGAAATATGTGATGAACAATGAAATATGAGTATATGCTTTAAAAATATATACAGAAAAGCATATCAAAACATGAAAATATGTGAACAGAGTGAAAAAAACAAAGTTCAATGTGCAGCAATAAACATTGTGCAAATAAACGCATGGGGTTAGTCCACCACTGGATAGATCCAAACTTCCAAGTGAGCAGTTGCCACAGAATCCTGACAGACCTTCACCTCCACCCAGTGAATGCAAAATTGGAACAGTGCTCATCTGGGGAGATCGACCCCCAGAACTAGGTCTAAAAGCGCGTTTCCCTTCTTAATAGGGGAGGGAAGCCCATATGACTGA